TCACCATTGAGGCAAATCATGGGATCACAAGATTCAATGAAGAGTATGGCTTATCCTGCCATTTGATTTCAAAGTTACTCTAATCTTACTCATTTTTTTGTATTTTAATTTTTATCATTAATACCAAATTTGGAGGATTTATAATTTGAACTTACAGAATTCAGTTTATGTGCAACAAAACTTGAAGGTTTACATTGCAACAACTGCACAGCCAAATTGCAATCTTTCCTATAACGATCCTGAAAAAAAAAGGAAACAGATAAAAGCAATTTATACAGTTTTCAGGACATTACATTCAAAATTGTTGCAATTATTATAGAAAAGTGTCTGTCAATCATTGGGGCATGCATAAAATGGGCAAGAAGAAAATGCAAAAAAATTGTTTTGTTTCATGTTTATATACATACATACACACATTATATATATATATATATATATATATATATATATATATATATATATATATATATAGAGAGAGAGAGAGAGAGAGAGAGAGAGAGAGAGCATACATATTTACTGGTGCATAAAAAAAAAAAAATCATTGACCTAAAATCAACAATACATAAATGGGGCATCAAAAAATAAATTTTGAAGGGGAAAAAAATCCCTAGAAAATGATAACATTCATATTTCTACTGATGAGTAACTGTCTATAAACCATTTTTATATCATTTATACAACGTTACTATTTAAATCGACTTAAACTTCTTGTTTATAGTCAGTAAAATAACTAATATATATATATATATATATATGTGTGTGTGTGTGTATCACCATGATCTCTTATTCTTTGTTTTTATAATAAAAATTCATCAATCTTTTAATCTGACATTTTTATTACTTAAAATATTATTTTTAGTGGTTACCCATATTTGAGTAGATACTCTGTTTATTTTAAACAACATTTCGTTTGTCTAATGGTCTGCATACCCAAGATAACTTACTAAAGAAAATATGATGTCTAGCAGGATTTGAACCTGTGTCCCTCTTTGCAGGAGAAACTACCATCTGATCCAGTGTGTTTTCACTGTTTGGCTATGAAGAGCAGTCACCATAAAGCAAGGTTTTATTTCGCCTTTGAAACACGCTGACTCATTACGTTTCCTTGATGATGACTGACAAGGCACTGCAATTAGGCTTTTTATTATATTTTCCTGGTGTTTGTACAAGGGATTTCTTTTTGGGAGCTAGAGTATGTAAGAACTGTCCAAATGATCTTTGGATCTGAATGCTTTCGGCCAATCTATTAGACATTATCATGGAATTTTTTTTCTTATACAGCAATAGAAATGTCTTAATTCCCTGAACACAGTCAGCACATTGTGGCCATGTTCATAACATTACTTAATAAAAGAAGAAACCAACTCAATAATATCATAATGAATAAGATGCAGTGTGAGAGTAATTATAGAGTAAACATGTTGTATAAAGGGAGACAAATCCTGATATAAAGAAAATTTAACAACAGCAATCCAAACAAAAGTGTTGATGCTAATTCAAATAATAACACATTTTAGATTGTCATACAAAATATATTCTTAACAAGTTTACTTATGCTATTAAAAAAAAAGAAAAAAAAAAGATGTCACTATTTAAGTGATTTTATAATTGCACTGTATACTTGTAAAATATTTGAAATCTATACTTTCTTTTTCATCTACATATAAAATTCTGTGACTTCCATTAATCTGTCCATCACACCCTCTAAAATAGCCATACTTGGACTGATCAAGACCAAATTTGGGGGGAGAAATAAGGGTATACAAAGTACAGTTGGCTTTACTAGGGTGAGTAGCTTAGTACAAGGAATTTTCATTCATTTTTTGGGAAAAATTAAAATTTTTTTTATTTAACATACAAAATACACCCAATATTTTAAAAACAATTTAATGATTAAGATAAGAAATACTTATTTAATGAAAATGTAATATTGTTTTTTGCATATCTTTTTATATATACAAGAATCCAGTTTCCAGTTTTCCTGCATTTGCAAGAACTATAAACAAATCACAGGGTCAAATGCTTCCAAAAGTTAGAATTTGGCTCCAGAAAGAAATGGCCATACCACCAGAAAAAGTTCACTATATAGAGATCAGCAAATCACCCATCTCTATAAAGTGGACTCTTCTGGTGATATCAAAAAGTGTTACACATAAAAATACACATTGTAGCAACACCACATCTTAGATATTTAGTTGATTTGGTTGAGTTTGTTTAGCGGCATATCAACACTTCTATGGGTTATTTAATGCCGAAATCTAAATATTTTGAACATAATTGTATGCCTTCAAATACAGATAAAATATATTCTTGGAAATTCTATGATAAATAGATATTGGTGGTAATCTTTTTTTATTTAAAAATGTATTGCTGGTATCTTTAGTATAAAAATGCATTTTTATACTTTTATAGGGTAGGATTTGGTCTTTTTTTGGAGGTGAGGTCACTATTTACCTATAGCTGGGACCCTAACAGGTGCTACTACCCCACGTCAGAGTGGACCTGGCAACAACAGCAATTAAGAAGTGGTTCCACACTCCACAAAACCTCCAATCTCTTGATCAGAGGTCTTGCTGCCAAATGTAGTTTATTGTCATACCCTGGATTATAGATATTCAGACATATTTTATTAATTTGTGAGCATTCTCAAAATCATAATTTTCTTGGCCAGAGAATTTGTTTGTTTTTCTTAATAATGATTACCAAGTGTGACATAAACTTGAAAGATGCTACAAAGATCACCTGTTACGGAACAACAATTGAAACAACAATAGTGAAAATGCTGGTCCAAATAAGTCATTGAATAAATAAATATATAAATAATATAAATATCAATTATACATATATAAATAATAATAAATAAATTATATATATAATATATTAAATATAAATATTATTTATATAAATAAATAAATAACCCCCACAACCATTTTTAATATTTTGTCCAATCAAAAGGCTAATCAGTAATAATTCAGGAAAATACAGGAATCTCTCTATTAGTTTGGCTAATGTGTACGTCAATAACTATAAAAAAAAAAATCAGTCTTCAATTATTGTGATTAAACTGAAGAATGTTTTACCATACTAATCGAGTATTATGTATGCACTAAATGAATTTTGGTACATAAAAATTTTAGCATGCTAATCAAAAACACATTAATTGAATGAACTTTAATTGAGGGATGCTTGTATTCTCTAGAATTTCAGCATTCAGATCAAGAGGGAGATCCTGATAAATCGAATAAAACTAATTGAGAAAACAAGTCTTCCAATAGATGTTTCAGCCCCAGCCAACAAAAACACATATTTGAAAATGTTTGAGAAACTAAATCCAGGGGAATTGAGATAGGAATCAGTAGAATGTAATTTTCAGATATATATATATATATATATATATATATATATATATATATATATATATATAACAAATATCCCACATCTATCCACAATGTGGATTAAATTCCTGGTAGCCCTAAAATATGTGAATTGCAAAAAAAAAAAAAAAAAAAAAAATCATAGTTATGAGTACTTTTCCCATCTTGTGCAGATTCCTCTCTGCTTACAGTGAAGACGATTACATTTTGTTTTTTTTTTCTGATTGCAGGGGACCTCATCTGTATGTATCTTGATACAAAAACTTGTTGAGACTTAGGGGAAACATGTCCTATACAATTGAAAGCAAAAAAATAATGATAATAATAACTAGCCAAATCTCATCTAGCAAACATTTCTTTCAAGAATAATTTAGCAGATGATGTTATTTAATTTATTGTAATTGGATTTTTGGTGATTGCCTTACTGAGTTTCTGTCATTCGATACTTTGTGTCTGAAAAATGGTGCTTTTATAGTGGGGGCCCCCTCCCCATTGATTCTTGCCATTTTGGCTCAGATCAAGATATAGTATATTCTTATCAGCTTAATTTGATTCTCTCCTCTTCTATCTTCCTTTCTTTCTCTCACTGAAACCAAGTAGTGTCTATTCCCTGCCTTTCTATGCGATGAAACTTGAATAGTCCATTACTCGCACAGTATTGGCAGGGCGTAATGGTCGTGTGAACTAATGACGGGAGGGACAAGCACAATTATGATAGGATGATAATAATAATAATAAATAAACAAATTACTTACATTTTCTTCTTCTAACTCACATATGGTGACTCGAGTGTCCACCAACTTGGATGTTGCGGCAGCATAATCTTTTTGTATTGTAGTTTTTTCGGCTTCAAATTTATTTACCTACAAAAGTTGCAAGTTTTACAATATCATCTTATCTCAGAGAAAAAAATTCCAGATCCAGACACTCAATTACACTGCCACTGAATAACAAAAAAAAAGCTCATTCATATGCACTATAGTTCAAAAGTTTGAAGCCACCCTCAGTATTAGCATGTGATGAACTTGACAGAAGATTAAAAAGAAAAAAATAAGAAAAAAAATGAAAAATTGCTCTTAGAGTCATTGAAAAAAAAAAAAAAAAAAAATGAAATCAATTATAAAACTTATACTTTGAGAAACCTTTGCAATGAATGCTAAACATTTGTGCTGCAGTAATCAAGGCTAAAGGAGGATATTTTGACAAGAGCAAAATTTAATCATAAAATTTTCTTTTTTCTTTTTGCCATAAGAAAATTTCTATTAAAAAATCATGTCTCACTTATTTTTAACCATTTATAATAATTTTCTCTTATTTAAGGTACAAAACAACTACTTTTGGGACCAATTTAAAAAATTACCAAGAGTGGTTTCAAATTTTTGAACTGTAGTGTATATGTGTATAAATTGGGTATAGAACCCAGGCAAAATTTCATAAATTTGACAAAGTGGAAAACTGTTTTACTGACTTGATTACATGTTTCGACGTCATTAGGTAGGCTTCCTCAGATCAGAATGAAAGAAATCTGTTTCTTTAATATTAAATTGTTAATACTTTTTTCTGCTAAGCTGGCATTACTCAGTCAGGATGAAAGAACAAAATTGTGTGACTTTTGTAAAAAAGCCGTTTTTTAAAATTTATGCTGTTTTCTTTTCAATTTTTCTTGTTTTATCGAAACTGACTTGATTATGCTTTTCATCCTCTGATGGGCTTTATCAAGGCAAATATAAAGATTTTATTTTGAAACAAGTTTTTATAAACAGAAGTAAAAATATAGTTATTTTTTCAAGATTTTAAAATTTAAGAACATTTTATGAAATGAACAAAGTCCGACAATTATTTAAGACATTTTTATGTTTATACATTCTTTTTATAGATACAAATATTTAAGTAAATGCTCTGTTTATCTATAAAAAGAATGTATAAACATAAAACTGTCTTAAAATAATTGTCAGACTTTGTCCATTTCATAATGTGTGACGTTATTTGTTTACATTTGGATACGCCATGAGCAGACATGAATTTACGTGAGAGATTCATGGAAGATTGTAGTTTAAAAGCAGTAAAATCGACCTTGCGAATCGAACGATCCTATGTGGCCCAATCGGTTAAGGCACGTCAGGCTAAATGACGGCTCTGTATAGGATACAGGTTTGATTCCTGTCGGAGGACGAATATTTTCTATGTTCATTATAAACAGAGCATTTACTTAAATATTTGTATCTATAAAAAGAATGTATAAACATAATTAAGAACATTTATAAATAAAATCCAGGGTAACAGAAAGCCAAGGTAAATTATGGGGGATGGTAAGGGATTAGGATTTAATGCCTAACAAATGAAAGTCAGTAAATGTTATTCTTGTACTTTTTTTTATAAAGGAGTGTAAAATGAAAAAAATTATGCAAAGGACAAGTAATCATGACATTCTACATGTGTGTGTGTGTGTGTGTGCATATATATATATATATATATATATATATATGCACAAACAGGCACATGTGTGAAAAAAAAAAAAAAAAAAGAAAACTTGCACCAATGAAAAGTGCCTTTAAAATGGAAAAAATCAGTCAATTGCTGATACTCCCTTACAAAAATCTAGAGTTTGGATGCTGAAAGTAACAACAACCAACATCAGTAAAATCAATCAGTGACCAACCTTTTACTTGTATTATTTCTAACATAATTATTATATATGTTATTTTAGTTTGGGAAATTAATTTATGAATTATATATTTTACATAATAGAAAGTTTTGAATTTAACCATTTTCTTTTAATTTTAAAATTTATTATAGACATGTATGTTGACTTGAAAAAGGAGTGTTTCTTTTAGGAAAGGAGATATTTGAAAAAAATCCAGGGTGCAGATTTATATTTTAATAAAATTTGATAGCAGCACTTTCCATCAAAGTAATTTATTTTTTCTTTTAATAAGTGTGCCATTCTTTAGATTGCAGTTGTTTTTAAATGTATGACTAATGCATTTGATAAATTGTTTTGTATTCAGATATACATTTTTTAAATTTCTGAAAATTTCCACAATATATTGTAAAGAACTGTTGTTAGACCTTATTTCATATATACTGTATTCTGAGGATGAAATGTGCCGGTTAAAATAAGTTTTTATATTGTCTTTTTACAGATATTTTTTAGTTATATTTACACACAGATATTTTTTTTCTAATGAATGGATTTTTAATTCGACATTTTTCTTACTTCAAATGTTATTTTTCATGAATAACCTTATTTGAAATGGACACCTGTTTTTTTTTTAAAGTGTTTATTACATCTATCGGCCTGTGTACTTGATAAAACTTAAGAAAATGACCTTCCGGTAGGGTTTGAACATATGTCTCTCTTTATAGGAGAAACCATTGTCTTTTAAATTGATCAGCTATAGAGAGTATCCTATTTACATTTTTAAAGAATGCATATCACCTCATTCAAATTTTCTTGAAAGCCGTATCTGTTAAGATCCGAAACGTAAACAAAGCAATTTCCAAAGAATTAATGGATTTATTTTTAATCCAACATTTTTATTACTTCCACCAAAAATACCATTTGAAATAATATATGAAAGAATAACAAATTACATTAATATCATATACACTTTTTACTATCGTTTTCACAGAGTATTTTGTTGTCGTCATGAGGTGTGTAGAGGGGATTAACACATTCTTTGGCTAGCAAATACTTGTCAAAATTTAATATAAAACTTAATATAACAAAAAAATTATACAAATGTACAATAAATTTAATCTCATTTATAATATTAAAATTATGCATATAATTCTATTCTGTACGTAACACTTGACCACTTTTTGTCTTATTTGATTTTCAAAAGCATTTCCAGATTAAAAATCATTAGCAATGCATTTACATTATAATAGCCCTATTCTATAAGTAATGTTGCATTAATTCCTGACCACTGACAATCTCTTTCTTTCAGATTGCAATAAATTTTTATAATAAAAAAACAATATATTTTAACATTAATAACCAGTCTAAGTTGGTACAAGGCAACCTAAAAGTAGATTTCTGGGATGAGAATTTATCATTATTTACAGTCAGACTTTATTGTTATTATTACAACAACATTTAGATTATATAAGGGGCTCAGTTTGAAATTCTCTGAAGGTTAACTGGCTCAACAGACTCCCTGAAGAAGGCTGGAAAGTGCAACTGCTGAAACGTTGTTAGAATAACAACAATGATGAGTACAACGATAAATAATGGAATTAAATTGCTTTTTTTTTTTTTACAAGTTAGAGTATTTTAACATTATTGCACTAACAAAAATTGCGTCATGATGTGCTGTTCTTACTGTGGTATGGTAACACACAGAAAGTCAATCTTTGTTAAAAAGACGGTTAATATTCTTAGTGCTGAAATTCTGTCACTGAGCCAAGTGCCTCATCACTGCACCAAATTTGAAAAATATAAAGAAAAAGTAAGAAAAAAAGAAGAAAAAAGAAAAGAAAAAAAGAAAAGGAAAAAAGAAAAGGAAAAAAGAAAAGGAAAAAAGAAAAGGAAAAAAGAAAAGGAAAAAGAAAAGGAAAAAAGAAAAAGAAAAAAGAAAAAGAAAAAAGAAAAGAAAAAGAAAAGAAAAAGAAAAGGAAAAAAGAAAAAGAAAAAGAAAAGGAGAAAGAAAAAGAAAAAAGAAAAGAAAAAAAAAAAAAAAAGAAAAAGAAAAGAAAAAGAAAAAGAAAAAAAGAAAAGAAAAAAGAAAAGAAAAAAAAAGAAAAAAAAAGAAAAAGAAAAAGAAAAAAAAAAAGAAAAAAGAAAAAAAAAAAAAGAAAAGAAAAAAGAAAAAGAAAAAGAGAAAAGAAAAAAGGAAAAGAGAAAAGAAAAAGAGAAAAGAAAAAAAGAAAAAGAGAAAAGAAAAAAAGAAAAGAAAGAAAGATACTTACAACTTTTAGAAGTTTATCTTCCAAACTATGGTTCTGTCTTTGAAGGCATTTATGACTTTCCATTAATCTAGAACAAAAACGCAATTAAAAACAAGAGATTATTTTGCAGTTATTAAATTAATAATATCAGGGGGAAAAAAAAATCAATTTTAAAGAAAAATTTTAAGGAAATAAAATAAAAATGGCAAATAATTATTCCATGATAAATTAATGTCTAACTCTCTGTTCATAGTTTGGAGCACTGCCACATCATTAGTACTGTGCAGTTTCCAAACATTCCATTTAAAATATTATACATATATCATTTACTTCTTAATTTTCTTGTTATATATTGTCTTGAGTGCTCTTTCTAGTTTGTGTAAAATAAACAAAAGAAAAGTTTTATGTTGAAAAATTGAATTAAGAGGCCAATGTTTAAAAATTCATTTGTTAATTTAAAAAATTAAAATATTCAAAAATAGGTTTCCCACTGCAGCAACATATCTTCCTTACGCCATTTGTATAAATACTTTCATGGTAATTGTCCTGATGAACTTTCCTCTATGGTACCTAGACTTTATGAATTTAAGTACAGTACGAGATTGATGGCAAGGTCTCATCATTTTACTGTTGAATTGGCTAAATGTAACTGTAAGTTCTATGTTAGCAGTTTCTTTTCTCTCACTTCTCACCTGTGGAACTCTCTTCTGGCTGCAGGTTTTCCAGCCAACTTTGATCTTCAAAAATTTAAATGCAGTGTCAATCGTTATCTACAGTCTTCTTGATTCCTCTTATTATTTTTCCTCCTTAATAATGTCTTTCATTTTCTTATTCTTTCACACTCAGTAATCCTTTGTGTCTTAGTGGCTTTATTGTATTGCTTAGGGTGAAATGATTTAATAAAAAAAATAAAAGGCATGAGAGAGATATTTTGACAAGAGTCCTGTCGCTTGTTATCACATTTTAGTGTAGAGTTCTTTGCTTTATAAAAGAAAAAAAGGACTGGAGAGTATCACTTTGCATGTAAAATATGGAATCACTTTCATTACATGCATTCTTGAAACATGAAATACATGGAAACAAAATCCGAGGGATAAGGACCATGTTCACTCCCACCTGAAATTTTTTGAATTTAGCGTCAAAGGTCAAATCCGATTTTTCCATACAGTTGATTGGTTGATCAGTTTTCTACAACTTATCAAACTTTTGCATATTATTTGAAGCCAGAAAATATCTTTTTAGATTGCAAGAATTTCTGTTTTTGAAGATACAAGTCTTACTAATTAACCCATAGTTGGGGGAAAAGAGGTGGATACATAACTTTCCCAAGTGGATTTGCATGGAAGTGAATATAAAGAACCCAAGTGGAATTGGAATTTGGCTCTTCAATTGATAATTCCAAGCCATTATCCATTACACCACCCACACATCTATGCTTACAGCACCTGATATTCCAAAGTGGTCACCCATCTAGGTACTGACCAAGCTTGATGTTGCAGGACTTCAGTGACCATACAAGAACCCATGTTTCAATGTTTTAATTTGGCCAGAAGCCTCTACAAATAAAGCTGAAGGAATATGCCAAAGACAGTGGTATGCCCCACATGAATAATTCCCAAAGACAAAAGAGGCAAAAAATGGTGACAACTTGGTTCAAAGAATGCACATGGGAATCATACACATAAGACTTCAAGAAGTATCATACTTTAAAAAAAAAAAAAAAAATTAAATTTAGGAATTAATGAGAACAAAGTTATCTTCCCCTACTTTACACCCACACATTCTACCAGCAAATCAGAAGCCAGCTTCTGTTGGCACCAAAAAGAACATTCATTAGCTCTTTCCTTTTGCTGCTTTATGTCATCCTTTAAAGATATGTTGACTGGCTCAGATCATCTTGGTTGACAAAAAATTTAATCAAGCTAAGTGAACTTTTCTTTTTAAGATAAGTTTAGCCCCTGCAAACTCACCTATAGTTTGCTACTTCCCCTTTTTCTTCTTTGTCTATCGTTCACTGTCTATAAATAAAAAATTAATTACACTTATGTTTGTTTGTCCTTATTGTCTTTTAAAATCCTCTCACTGAGGTAAATCAATTCATTTACACTTGAAGTTACAACAAAACCTAAATTGTTTTTTTATTTCCCTCTTCCCTTTATTTTTATAATTTAAAAGGGGTTAAAATATCATCCTATTATAATTGTACTTGTCCCTCTCTTTATTAGTTTGCACAACCGTAACACCCTGCCAATACCTCATAAATAATGAACTATTCCATTTTGATTGCCTGGAAAGAGGGGAAAAGACACTACTTGGTTTCAGTGAGAAGAAAGAAAGAAAGAAGATAAAAGATATGATTAAGCATAATATCCTATTGTGCTTGTCCCTCTCTTCATTAGTTTGCACACCCTGCCAATACCTCATAAATAATGGACTATTCCATTTTGAATGTGTAGAAAAAAACACTATTTAGTTCAGTGAGAAAATAAAAGAAATAGTGAAAGAAAGATAGAAGTGGAGAGAGATGGAATCAGATTAAGCCAATAAAAACAGATACTAGACTTTGATCTTATCCAAAAGGCTGAGAAACCACAATAAAAGCACCATTTTTCGGACAAACATTATCAATGGAAATCGAGTAAGGCAATAACAAAAAAATCCAGTTCCCATAGATAAAATAACACCGTCTGCTGAATTATTTTTTTAATTATTAAGAGAAATGTTTGTGAAACAGGGATTTGACTAATTTTGATAGTTTTTGTGTAAAAGAATACTATAAAATGATATTAAAATGAAATCAATCATAAAAAGCACTTATCAAAAAAAGAATTTCATTTTACCCATTTTAGCATGCACATTTATGCAACCTTTTTCCACTGTTTTAGAGTTAATAATGACAAATGCAATAAAAATACTAAAAAAAAAAAAAAAAATTTGCTATCAAAGCATCCAGAAAGATCCATACCCTTGCAGACCCTCTCTTAGTTTTTTACAGATTGGTCAAATCACTTCAGGCTGCATTTTGCTTCACATTTGTGTTGGTGTGCATAAACATTTGGAAATGGTTGTTGTACATTCCCAATGGAATAGAAGTTGAAAGGTTACTGAATAGAATAATCACACAATGGTTGGTAACGAACAATAATACTTAGGACAAGAACAACACATATAAGATTCGCCAGCAGCATGTAGAAGTAGTAGTCAACTGCTAGAAGTGAGTCAAGTGAATTCCACAATGAATCTCCAACTACAGACCAACATACAATATTTACTACTGTATTTATGTGAATGGGAACATACACATTATCGTCTGTAGGTATGATACAACAAAAATGAAAACATGAATCCTGTTTTCCATCATTGGTTGGTTTATTCACAGAGTGAGTTTGAACCAAGTGCTCTCTCTGGGGGTAAGTAGGTATGTTACTTGTACCAAGCAAATACTACCAACATGACTAGTTGGATGAACGTTTCCTCTCTTCTGACTATTTAGGAACTTAAAATTTGTTTGAAAAAAAAAAAAAATTGAGTTAAAATATTTTTATTATTTGTTCCAAAAAGGAGTTAAAATACCACTTTTATAGTTTGTATATAAAAAATAAGCATAAATTTTACCCTAACCAAAAAAAAAAAAAAAAAAATTTTTTACTTTTTTTTACCCATTTGGCTTACAAATTCATTCAATCATTTCCAGACATTTAAGAGTTAATACATGTATTTTGATTTGCCTGCAGTTATGCAGACGTATAGGTCTATAGATTAATATTATGGTGCAGTAATGGATAGCGACTCAGATCGAGAAATCAGAGAGCTGAGACAAATTCCTGTCGAATCCATTATATTCACTTATGTGTTAATACCCTTGGGAAAGGTATGAATCCTCTTCTTCTCCCCACCAAACAGGTTCTATAGCTTTGCATAGCAACTAGTCTACCGCAGAAAGAAATGGCAACCAACTGCTTTGAAAAAAATCTGCCTCATCAGTCATGTATTGGATAGCAGCTCAGATTGAGGAATTGGAGAGACGAGTTTGAATTCCAGTCAAATCCATTACATTCACTTATGTGCTAATACCCTTGAGAAAAGTATGAATCTTCCTCTTCTCCCCCACAAACGGGTTCTATAGCCTTGGATGGCAACTGGTCTAATGCAGAAAGAAATGGCAACCTACTGTGGGAAAAAATATCTGCCTCATCAGTCATGTATCGAAAGATACATGATCGCCTAAACGTGTAGCATACATGGCACATAACTGACTGATATTCACTTATGTGCTAATACTCTTGGGAAAGGTATGAATCCTCTTCCACCCCCACCCCCCAGCTATGGGTAAATAGCAGGACAGACCGTGTTCTATAGCCTTGGATGGCAACTGGTCTACTGCAGAAAGAAATGGCAACCTATTGCCATAAAAAATCTGCCTTGTCAGGACTTCATGATAGGTCCATAGGCAACAAAGATCAATGTACTGTATGTTATGACAAATTTCTTCCTTCATGTTGATTAAAGCTGTCTATAATTTGGGCCACAGTAACCTTTCTACTGGCTCATATTTGGCAATAAAACCTCTATCACATTTCTCCTCAATAAATCTTGGTCACTCAATATTTATTTTGGCATTTGGTGACTTTCCCCACCTCATGCTGATATTTACTAACAGAACTTCCCACAAGTTGTACTATTTTGGAATTGTTCTGGCTAATTCTGACAGCTATAATAATTTAACCTTCATAAAAAAATCATTCAAATCCATCTTCTTGTCCATAACTGAGGAATTTAACAAATGAAAATGAAGTACTCGAGGTCAGTTTACCTGCTTCTAATATCCCTGACTATGAGCATTTTTTCAAAACAGTAGCTGTTATTCTTTGCTACATGTCACTAGTAATAATGTTTTGATGTATGTGTGTATATGCACACATTTAAAGGTCACATAAACTTCAATCTATAAAAGTGCGCTTATGTCTGAACAAAGTTTAAATACCAAAGAGTTTGAAAAATGGGAATCGAAATAAAGACACCACACCTGGAATACTGAACAAAAAGTTACTTTCATTTTGATCAGAAAAAGTCCCTATCCTAAACAATAAAGGCATTTGCAATTTGTCAATGACATAAATTTTAAAAAAAATTGAAATTTAAAATTTTTTTTTCTTAAACTTTTCACCCCAAGCAAAGTGGGAGTGCCACTAGCATGCAACAGTTTGGTTTGTTTTGTTTTACAGCATATCAACCTCAATAGGTCCATTTATTACCAACAACTTTTTTTTTTCCTGGTAATATTTTTGCTTTGTCAAAAATCTATTTCTGGTAATATTTTTTTTCCTCAAAAATGTATAGCTGGTAATATTTTTTAAAAACATATTGCTGGTAATAGTTTTTTTTTTTTCTTCAAAAATTTATTTCTGGTAATAATTTTTTACGAAGTATTTCTGGTATTAAAACCTATTTTTACACCTTCATAATGCTTTTTACCTCAGTTTTGGGGTTAACTATTTGCCCATAGCTGGGACCCTAACAAGTGCCACCACCCCGGGTCAGCGTGGACCTGGGAACACTAGCAATTAAGAGGAGGTTCCACGCTCCTCAAAACCTCCTGATCAGAGGCCTTGCTGTTGGACATAGTTTATCGTCTTACCCTGGATGTGGATGTAGTTTATCATCATACCCAGGACACAAGATGCAACAGGTTACAGAGAGCAAGAGTAAAGAGGCATGAAAGAGGAAAGGACAAGAGAAGGATGGGGAACAAAACAAGGCATCTGGAGATGTTAATTGACATTGCATTTGAATAGTTGAAGATTATAGCTATCAGGGAAGCAAGTAAGAGGAAGGGAGTTCCACAGACAGGAAGTTTGAGACATGAAGCTTTTGGAGTAGAAGAGACAGCTACATTTAACCATTTCAACAATGAAAGGGTAGGACTGAGATGCTGACCTAGTGGCATGTTTAAATTCATGCAGTTTGGGAACTAGTGAAAATAGCTTGTTGGAGTAGTTACCATGAAAGTATTTGTAGAAAAGACAGAGGGAGGTGATGGTACATATGTGAGAGAGCGACTGTAAATGAGATGCCAGATCAGGGCCAACCACATAGCATATCCATTTTTAGATTTTGTCGAGGACCCTAAGATGAACAGTAGGGGTCCAGACCATATATGACAGCAATATCCCATGCAAGAGTGAATAGTTGATTTATAGATTTGAAGGATGGACTCAGGCGAGAAAAATTTTCTGGCGCGACAGAGAACAAACTTTCCTGGCTTTTTCAATATATTTTTGTACATTATTTAGATTATTCGGACTATTGTCCTCATCTTTGTCGCCATATTTATTACAACATTTCAGCCGTTGTACACTCCGGCCTTCTTCATGTGGTTGGAATGTTGAACTGAACCCTTTATTTCACTCACGGTATTCAAATCACCCCCCCCCCACAAGGGTGTCATGTGGCACAAGGCCTTTTTAATGTGGGCATTCCAAGCCCGTGGGCATTCCAAGCCCGTGGGCTCAGCCAAAAATATGCCCATTGAACCCGTATATACGGGTTCAGGGCCGGTTTTACCTCCCTGAAGGAGACTCCGCCCTTCGGCATAGCCTCCTTCGGGTTCCTCCCGTCCATAGGAAGAGAGTTCAACCGAGCAGTCGGTTCAAAAGTGAACGACTGACTCACCTTCATTTCACTCACTGGTGTAGACCGTTCTAGTTCCACATGTCATGTTTTAATGGATGTCAGTTATCAGTTATCTCCTGTTAATTTTCCCTCTGAAAGTCCTCCACTGTCTTAACAGGGTATTGAACTCACACTCTTTGGGTTCTGTCACTGGATCTAACCAACGCCTGAAGAAGGCCGGAGCATACAATGGCCAAAACGTTGTAATAAACCCTTAAGAAGGCCTGAAACGTTGTAATAAATATGGCAACAAAGATGAGGACAATAGTCCGAATAATGTAAATAGTGTACATAATACCTCATCTCATAAATATAGACAGATATATTTTTGTATCAACAAAAGAATCACAGGACAGATAATAACTTAGATCAGCTTAAAAAAAAATTAAGCATATTTTAATCAAGGCTCATCAATTTAATCAAGGATCATGTTTTTGGGTTTTTTTTTTAAATTCAACTTTATTAACATATTCAAACTTCTTTTTGCTTTCCATCAGCATAGATCAGGGGTGGGCAAACTTTTCAGTGCAAGGGCCGCATTAAAAAATTCACCATTTTATTGGGCTGCATAGTATATTAACCCTTTTGATCAGAACTCTCCCACACATATGCACCCCTGCAGGAAGAAAACAAAATGCTCACAATATTATTTGGCATTGCTTGGTAACTTTCTCTTTCAAATTTACTAACATTTGGCCAGCTGCATGAATTCTTTTGGTGGGCTGCATGCAGCCCACAGGCCGTAGTTTGCCTGCCCCTGGTACAGATGATGCTAACATGCAGGAGAGTAACTCATTAAGCCTTCTCAGGCTAACATTTTCTATTGACATGAAGTGGAAGGCTTATTTTGAATCAATTAATAGGTTTACTGCTAGGAAAGTTGGTCCACTGTGTCATACTAGACAATTTTTCTCACCAGAATCTATCTTACATGTTTATAAGTCTATGCACTGAATATTGCTGTCACATCTGATTCTGGTGCTGCTGTTATATATTTAGAGATTGTTGATAAAATAGAAAGATGAATCTGCAGCGATATTGGTTCCGACACAGCATCTTGGCTCCAGTCACTATCCCACCATCATAACATAGCTTCCCTGTGCCTTTTCTATAAATACTTTCATGGTAATTTTCTTGATGAACCTTCTGCTATGGTAACTTAGACTTTATGAATTTAAGCTCAGTACTAGAGGTCACATCATTTTATAGTTGAAATGGCCAGATGTAAGTTCTATGCTAATAGTTTCTTCTATCATACTTCTTGCTTGTGGAACTGGCTTCTTGCTTTGCAGTTAACTTTGATCTTCAAAAATTTAAATGCAGTGTCAATCGTTATCTTCTCTCTTCTTAATTCGTGTTCTTTTATGGTTATCTTTTTTAACAATTTTTTTTTTCTCATATTCTTTCACTCTTAGCGTCTTAGTGGCTTTATTGTCTTGCATGGAATGAAAAAATTAGAAAAATTAAATAACAGAAATAAATAACAATAAAACTATGCACTTAACATCCCCTTATGATACCCTGCTAAAGACCTTACAAATTTGATCACACTCATCAATTTAAGGTTACCTTCCCCCCACCACCACCACCATCGACTTAATGTTACCCCCCACACACACACACACCATCGACTTAATGTTACCCTCCCCCACCATCGACTTAATGTTACCCTCCCCACCATCGACTTATAGAAAATAACTGAAATTTTAAAATATAACTCTAAAGAGAGTCTAATTAAAAAATAAAACTCAAACTTGAGAATTTGCAGAGGATGACCAGGCTCAGCTGATACTAAGAAGAAAAAAAAAAAATCCAAAGCCAGCTCCCTATCTAGCTTGACCCCCAACTTTCATATGTTGGCATAAATTTAATTTTAGACAATCCCTGGTTTTTAGATAGCATGGGTTTATATTTGCTTTATCGATGCATTTAAACAAAAGACCTACCTGTCGTACCGATCTCTAAGTCGGGATAATTCCTCTTTGAGCTTTGATATTTCATATTCAGCAGCTTGCTTATTCTGCATAAGCTCCTCTTCAGCCTGGTGGATGTTCCGATTGCTGCGTAACAAGCGACTTTGCAGCTCCTCAATCTGTTGGTGTAGATCCAGGCTGAAAAATGTGTTAGGTAAGGGAAAAATGAAAGAACATAAAAAAAAATAACGCACAAATATTAAAAAAAAAATACGAGATGCATAGTGAAGAGAGGGAAAAAAAAAAAGAAATAGAGAGACAAAATGAAAAAAATGGAGTATAAAAAGGACAGTTTTTTCCTTTGACACCACTATTATTTTAGCTACCTTCACTACTCAGCAATATTTACCCGAAAAATAACATTTAAGTAATAAAAATCTGTGAGATTAATAAAAAAATCCATCCCTTTCCTTAGAAATTGCTTTGTTTATGTTAGGATACAAAACTCAGAGGATATGTCTATTTCAAGAGTCAGAGAAAAATCTGTGTTTAAAGGCACTATTTAGACTTTGCCTGCTTGTTGACACCCTCTGTAGTGGAGTGGTCAAAGCATGTCAGATCTAATGATGGTTTACCTTAGGGGGGCACAGGTTCAAATCCTGCCAGAGAAGATATATTTTTCATTAATAAGATTTTGCATATATTATATATATATATATATATATATATATATATATATATATATATATATATATATATATATATATATATATTAATAAATATACATAGTATCACACACCTCCAGCCCAACTCAGAAAGAAAGTAAAAAAAAGAATCAATATTAACATGGCTAAACAGGCTGTGTAGATCTGAGCCCTATTGAAACTGGAGACATATTTAATATGCAATGTATTTCTTGCATTAATTTCATAAATAATCTTTTAAAAATCTCTAATGAGTTGTATGCCCTGTTTTTCAAAGAACACATATTTATTTTAACTCTTTGTTTTAAAATGTCTATTTTGAATAATTTATTCCATACAGTATAAGGTTTTTTAGCAGAATGTATCTTTTGAGAAAAGGCAAATTAAAATTAAATTCAGCGAAAATCAAAGAAAGTGGTAGCCATAACTCATCGACTGGAGGGTAGGGGTGAGGAGTGTGACTAGGGTAATTTTTTTTTTAAGCATTTCACCCCTAGCAAGGCGGGAAGCCACTAGTATGCAAGGGGTTACAGAGGATTTGGAGCGAGAGCAGATAGTAAATGATAGAGGAGAGGATGAGGAGAAGGATAATGGATACATCATGGCTACTGGAGATGTCGATTGACATTACATTTGAATAGTTGGAGATTAAAGCTATCAGGAGTAGGGAAGAGAGTTCCACAGGCAAGAGGTGCAAGACATGAAGCTCTTTTTTTTCTTACATGTGTGGAAAAATTTTTTTTTAAATAAATGTTTATTTTTATAGAATTATTACAATTAATATTAAAATACCAAAATGTGTTTTTTTTAATTTGATGTACAGAGATTTAAAAAAAACATTATATATTTTAGTTAGAATAAAGGATTCATTTTAGTACCTAAATTATACCAATAGTATATTTTGTTAAAGATTGTAATGAGCCCAATAAACATTGATAACCTAGAGTTGCCACTGAGATATATATATATATATATATATATATATATATATATATAAGCATTATAATCAGTTGGTACATGAGTTTTTTTAAAAAAACAGTAGACTTAATGTCTAAAAGGCCTTGAGACATCAATTTCATTGTTTAAAAAAACAAAAAACTAAGTTGTCGACTCAAACATGCGTATCCACTAACAATAGTAATAATAAAACCTACTAAGTATGGAAATTGGAATGAGAACAATATACCCTATAGATTGAATGAAGAGTTCACTTCTAAATTAATTTACAAAGTTTATGAAGGGAAACACCTGAAGAAGGCCAGAATATTGTAAGTATAACAACTAAGATGAGCATGCTGACTTAAATGGCAAATCATATGATAAGGATAATTCCTCATCCCAAGAATTCCAACTAAAATTATCAAATCAGTAATAGCTGAAACATTGTGAGTATAGTATTCAAGATGAGAATGCTGGTTTAAATAGCAAAGCATATAATAATAATTCATCATCACAAAAACTGACAAACTCATGCTAATATGGCTGATGAAATACAGCCAACATTGGCAACATTGAAAACAAGTTCATATCAGCACAAAAATTGGCACACACATTCCATTTTTGTTTAATCTGTCCTGGAAATCCTGTGGGCCAAAAGAAGTCAATATTTTTAGCCACCAAATTCTTGGCATGATTACAAACTCAAAATAAGTTAATGATGAGCCTTTATCAAAATCTTTAGGTGAAGGCGACTGACCACTCCTTTTTAATTCACATGAATCAAAGAAGTGAAGAGTTACTTTCTGCTCCCAGGATTTTAAATAGAACACTAGATATTGGCTAACAGCCCACCTTGGCTGCCAAAACATCAGCACAAGATTATTAGAAGCTCTAAATAAAGATAAATTAGTTCGGTACTTATCGCTTCACTGATGGTAAGATGATCAAATTTCCAATTTAAATTATTGGTCCGTTTAAAATATTACTTAGAAAATATATTCAGTTTAAATATAGGAGTCATAAAAATCTGGTTTTATTAAATAATAGTTCAATAATTTTCAATTCGCTGAAGGCATGATGATCAAATTTCCAAATCTAATTTGTTTTTTCTATTTAAAATACTACATTTATATAGTTTAAATTTAGAAGGAGTCATAAAGATAACTTGAAAAAAGGGTTGCATATTTCAGTTTATACTCTTTCCTTGTTACACTGAGTGGGGAGGGGTTCTAAAAAGAAAGAGAAATTAGCCCTTGTGATAAAGACCTCTATTTCAATTTCATTCAAACTGAGAGTGTGTGTGTTTGTAAATTTTAATATATGTATATTTTAATTCAATGACAGACCTGAAAATATTTCTACAAAATTTAAAAAAAAATTAAAAAAATTATTACCAAATAGTTTGCAAAAAAGTCAATAAAATTTTTAAATTATCTGTTTTTTTTTTAGGATTTAAAAAATATATGTTGTTTTTATCCCAAACTTCATGATTTTATTGCTTAACTCAAAGTAGGGGATTACCCAGACCATGTGATAAGGGAATGTATTATTTCAAACTCTGTCAAACTCTGTGTGTGTGTGTGTGTGTGTGTGTGTGTGTGTGGTGGAGAGCATTAAATGTCACAGAAAAATGACACTGCTTGATAGAGCAAGTTTTCAGCTATAAAATATTTTCCCCCCATGTAGTCACCACCATTGCTTATTCATTTCCAAGATTTTCATTATGTGGGTTGACAGCTGCTACAGAGAACATGACTTATTGTACCGATTACTTTTACCACTGCTGAAATACATTACCCACCTCCTAGCTATGCTCACATCCACTGTTTGGTCTCTGTAAATGTTTAGCAAGAGTCAATGAATGTCAAAGGGTGCAAATCAATGGCCCAGCTCTGCTTCGTATGCATTTCAAGTCCTCCATTGTGGCCACCATAAAAAAAATTAGAGAGCTCTACTTTTGGAGCAAGTCTCATGTAATTCTCTGTCAAGCACTTTAATTCATAAATTGCAATTTTCTTTTTAGAATACTAATATTCTTAATTAGGTGAGGCACAATGGAGTAATGGATAGCACCTCGGATTGAGGAATCGAAGAGCTGAGTTCAAATTCCAGTCGAATCTATTACATTCACTTACGTGCTAATACCCTTGGGAATAGTATGAATCCTCTTCTCCCTCCAGCTATGGCTAAATAGCAAGACAGACCGAGTTCTATAGCCCTGGATGGCAACTGGTCTACTGCAGAAAGAAATGGCAACCTACAGTGGGGAAAAATCTGCCTTGTCAGTCATGTATCAAAAGATACATGATCACCTAAGCGTGTATCACGCATGGTACATAACTGACTGAATATTCTTAATTAATGATAACTGATAAGAGAAATTTCCTGTAGAATACATTAATAGTCTATTAAATTTACTAATGTTAATATCCCTCAGTTTTGGTTTAAATAGCAGCAGAGATTGTGTTCTCTAGCCTTGGATGGTAGCCAGTCTAGGAGAAGGGCAATACAAAATTCAAAACCATAGAGAAGGCAGTTAAGGATAAACTAGTACAAAATGAGCAGGGCTAAAGTATAAAATGTATAAAATAGAGATGGAAATTTTCACTAATACTTCAGAGACACTATAGCTCATAAGTTTGGGGTGTCCTCTGGATTTGTGAAGAAGCGTCCAAAAATTGATGGATGCCTGCCTTTTTCAAAACTAATTTACTTGCTTGCTTCAGTCCCGAGAGACTTTCTCTGACTGAAGGGTTTTTGTTATATATTCAATAGTAACAACAAAATTAACCAATTACTGCATAAAGATTCCTTAAAATTATATCTCTTTTTGTCTAATCTAGCTTGGTGGCTAATGGTAATTTTAAGGCTGACAGATTTCAAATTTTAGGTAATCTCCTTTACAAAAGGTCATACACCATGCACTAATAGCTGAAATAGTTTCAGCATCCTAGTTTGGTAAGAGTTAATTAAACTAACAAAAGTATGAAAGTTACTAATTATTAAATCCAGAAGATGGTTCCAGACTTTTGACATTTTACACCATATATATTTACATATCATGTGACTTTTGAAGATCTAATTTTGAAGCTAATTTTAAGAGGGTTGTATCATACATAAGATATAAAATTAATGTATGCACTGCTGGCCCTGACTATGCTGTTGACCAAACTATATACCCATTTACTGTAGTCAAAAAGTGCAGCTGTATTTAAAATAAACAGGATTTTAATAAACTGGTGTTTTACTTAACTGTATCCAATAATAATGCATGTAATATTCACATATTAGTATTGTATTATAAAATACAAACATAGCGAATATGTATCTTTTCCATTGTTTACGTTTATAAGATGTTAAGGTTGTTTCTTGTTCAGTTGTTTATGACAGTGCGCAGTTATGCAACAAGTATAGTGTTACTAACAATACTTTTATCATTCTCTTTTACTTTTTTAACTTATTTAACTAGAAGATGGGATAAAGAGATAGAGGAAAAGAGGTTAATCTATTGTAATTTGGTCTCTCAAAAAAGGAACTCAAATCATACATGAGATACATGATAAAATCATTTTTTATAAGTGAAAATTTGGGGGTTGCAAGATACATAAGATCGCATGTTACAGAAGTATATACAGTGTGTGTGTGTGTGTGTATATATATATATATATATATATATATATATATATATATATATATATATATATATATATATAATATATTGCAAGCATTATTTTACTGAGTATCCATGTTCAAAGAGAATTATGTTGTGTAACATATATATATATATATATAGGAGGCGGCACGGTGGAGCAGTGGATAGCGGCTTGGATTGAGGAATCGCAGAGCCGAGTTCGAATTCCAGTCGAATCCATTACATTCACTTACGTGCTAATACCCTTGGGAAAGGTATGTATCCTCTTCATCTCCCTCCAGCTATGGGTAAAATAGCAGGACAGACTGGGTTCTATAGCCTTGGATGGCAACTGGTCTAGGAGAAGGACAACTCTGAATTCAAAACCTGTGGAGGGTCGTTTGGGAACCTTGTGGCATGCATTCGGTGCACCAGGTTTCTGTATTCGTCCCTCCAAAAAGTGTGGCTGGTCCTGCACGAGGCCTTCACCACTATAAACAAATCTCATGTGCCGTGTCGGGATGTTGGTTTCCTGGGGACTTATCGGCCTGACCTCATTTAATATCGAACGCGACGGAGAGAGTCGATTATATATATATATATATATATATATATATATATATATATATATATGGAAAAATGTGATATCTAAGTTTTAAAATAAGTTTTAAAAATGGAAAATCTTTCTTGAAGCTTTTAGTTTTAATTTCAAGCTAAATTTAATATTTCCAATAAGCAAAATACTTTGTTTTATTTAAAAAAAAAATTTAAATCAACTGGAAAGAATTTCATTTTTTTCTTTTTTTGATACAATATTGACTTTTTAGTCATCTTTCATCACAATGTAATTCTCTTTACTGAAAAATCTTCCAAAAATAGACTATACTTTTCTGAAACTTTCTTTGAGGAATATTAGCTGATTTAAAGTATAATTAATCTGATTTGAAACAAATATTTATTTTAAATTTACTATAGTCATTACTCTTATTTTCTGATGTCATGTATGGTTGGCCCGTTTATACACTAATAAAAAAAATTCAAAATTATTTTAAAAGTATTGATGATTTGTATTAAGCTTTTCCATTTATACTTAGTAAATATAATATCATCAAAACTACTGAAATTAATACAGAATTTTAAAAGATTTAAAATCTAATAAGTTTTACTAATTAAAATTTAAAAAAAAAAAGAAAAAAGAAAAAAAAGAAAACAATTCTTGTAAAAGTTCATTATTTATTCAGGGCTTTGCTTTTTCAGTTTAAGTGGGTAGGTAGGTGAAATGCCTACTATCATGTCAGTCTAACAGCTCAGCTCTTCCCGCTACTACTGACACTCATCTCAACATAGCGATTTTCCAAGCATAGCTTGGATGTGGCACAAGGCCGAAAGTAAGGGGCACCCAGTGAGGATTGAACTCACTACTCAGTCGTAATTGTTCTAGCGAGACAAGCTTGCTGACCATTACACGACTTTGAGGTGCCCAAACTCATTTCAACATAACAAGACATGCCTGGCCACAGGAATGGACAGCATTGAAACTACATGAAAGATGGTTTGCCCCCCCGCCAAGGGCAGACCAGAACTATCTCCCTTGATCCCAACCACCACTGTTAATGTAGACCAGCAACTGAGTATGCTATATCTAGTTTTCTTGTCATGTGATCTCCTAAAGTCCCCATCCACACATTTACTCTTGTTCCCCTTTGGTTAAAGTGGATGTTGCTTAAAATACTATAAATTTCAGGGTTGCTTAAAATACTAAACTTCAAAAATCAATCTACTGGCTCTAAAATAGAAACACTTGTAAAAGTAAAAATGGAGTATCTATTTTTAAATATGAGTATACTCTATAATAATGTCTGAAGTAATAAAAGGTTATGGACACATGGCCCAGTATTGGTTGAATCTAGTGACTTGACCCAAAGAGTTGTGAGTTTAATACCTGGCTACAGCAGAGGTGAACAAAAACTTGGCAAGATGAGTTAAAGAGTAGATAACCGATACTGAAACACCCGGAAGAGGCATGGCATGTAGAACTAGAACAATCTACCCTGGTGGACTAAATAAATCATTCAGTTTGAAATTCCATTCACCTGAAGAAGGTCAGAATGTACACTGCCTGAAATGTTGTGAATGGCAAAGATGAGGACAACAATCCCAAAAATGTAAATAGTGTGAATAATTACAATACCTCATCTCAGAAAAAAATTATATAAGTGAACATTGAAGTCAACACTCAGAGGCGACAGGCTGTTTCATGCTGGATGCAATCGTCAGGCCACCTGATGATTACGTCCAACATGAAACAGCCTGTTGTCTCTGAGTGTTGGTTTCAATGTTCGCTTTTATATTTACATATGCTCTATCTCTGATATTGAGCACGTTATCCCATAAATATAGCACACCTTAAAACTATATATATATATATATAACAAATAAAATTTACAAAATGAATTTAAAACTCTCAAATTAGCTACTTAAGCTTTGCTCCTGTTGGCTCTTCAGGCAGTTTGGAGAAGAAAAAAAATCAGAAATCATTTCTTAAATAATGTATCAATTACACCATGTATTTCTAACAAAATTTGCATTTTCATTTATGGTATCAGGTCTCAAGAAATTATTGAGGTGGCGTGGCTGGTCTACATGACTGTTATTACTATTTAATGGTAATATGTATATATTATACAAACATGCATGCATAAAGTGTACCAGAAACTTCAATAATGTACAAAAAGAAAGCCATCCATACTCTAGATGACAGAAAGTAGTCTATTTGAAAGTGATAACAGCCAAAAGTGTAGACGAAATAAGAAAAATAAATTGTGAAAGAACTTACCTGTTATAATTGAAGCAAGTGTTGCAACTACAACCACACTCCTAGAAAGGAAAGAATATTTGCATTGTAGTTAGGAAGTAAGGAAGACCACTGATATCAATGGACAAACATTTCAATACCAGATGTTTCCAAAAGAGAAATCAATCTAAAACAGAAACAATAGACAAATCAAATTTAGCATTTCTCATAACATTAGCTGTGTAAACTCCTACAGCAAGAATCAATAACAGGAAATGTCAGCAAATAGATAAGTCACAACTAAATAGATTCAGAGCATGAATCACCGAGAAATTATGAAGTCATGCACAAAGGAAAAGCAAAAAAAGCAAAACTTTAATATAAATACAAGGGTAAATCAAAAAATCATGCTCATTTTTCTTTAATTACAACAGATTTAATAATAGAAGTGTACAAAGTCTCTGAATTTCAAATCTAGTCCTCAACACTATCTCTTTTGTCTTCAATTGTGATTTGAGGGTCAAACAAAAATAATGCTAGTCTTTTCTTAATTACAACATATTTAATAGTAGAAGCACACAACGTATACCAAAATAAACACAAAGGTTTTATGATTTCAAATCTAGTCCTCAATACTATCTTTTCATTCTCAATCGTTGTTTGAGGGTCAATCAAAAGATTGTGATTGTTTTTCTTTAATTACAACAGATTTAATAGAAGAAGTGCACAAAATAGACCAAAATGAGGAAAAAGGTTTCAGGATTCCAAATCTAGTCCACAAAATAGTTTCCTTCCTTTTCCATTTTGGTATTCTCTCTTTGAATGATGGGCTCTATTCTCACCACATGCTCTGTACTCTTTTTTCTTTGTTACCAAAAAAAATCTTCCTGTCTTGTAATACTCTGCCTTGTTTTTGGAATGTGTCCTTGGCCATCCCAATATGTCTTCGGATCTCAGTGTTACATTTACTGTCAAAATATTTCCCAGATATTTAAACCTCCACACCTGCTTGAGTTTAGTATCCCCAACCTGCAAATCGCATTTCGGGATCATCCTTTTACTGATGACCATGCATTCTGTCATCTTGTAGTTTATGCTTAGTCCCTTCTTCTCACCCTTCTTTGCTACCTTCTGTAGGAGGTTTTCTAATTTCTTTTCCGTTTCTGCTATCAGTATTGTGTCATCTGAATATCTTATGTTAAGATTGTGGCCACCACTGATGAATCCCAGTAGTGAGATATCCAGAAAAGGCATGGCACATGGTACTAGAATAATCTACCCTGGTGGACGAAATAAAGGTTTCAGTCCAAAATTCTAACATATATCACCTGAAGAAGGCTAGAGCATACAATGGCCGAAATGTCATGAATATGACAATGAAGATGAGGATAACAATCTGAACAATGTAAATAGTGTAAAAAAAAAACCCAAAAAAAAAAAACCAAAAAAAAACAACATTTCAGTAATTAATCCATGAAACTTTTTTTAATCATTAATATGAGTTTTTGCCCTCTGGATTACAAACTTTTATGGCTTTGCCATCATTTGAATTGATTATTTTTCTTATATTTTTAAAGTATTATTATTATTGGTTTATATGTCTGTCATTTTTCTTTTTGTTTATATTTTACTTCTTAAAAATATAAGTAGCTCTCCAAAGGCAATGTCTCCTATTTATTTCTACAGAAACAATGGATACAGGGAGCACACCATTGAAGTTTTCAGCTATGAAGGTGATTAAAAAAACAAAATAAATAAATAAAATGACACAATGAAAAAAAACAAGCAATAGTAATAATAATACAAGTCAACAGTAGGATTAAAAATAATTTAAAGATTTATTTTGTACAAGTGCCTCTTGTATCTTATTCTGTAACCCTGTACCCTGAGTGACTCTTGGGCCTTGTAACATTATTGTTAAAATAAAAGAAAAAGAATTGTTCTAAATTGAAAGTTTTCTTTTAAAACAAAAATGAGCTCACAAATTTGAATTCATGAAACTGTATAAAATATTTGCAGCAAATGTTTTTTTTTATTTTGATCAGATGTATATACAATTTAAATAATGTGTATTTAAGGCAGCAAAAATCCAACCAAACAAGTTTTATTAAATTCAACCACCAAGGTATACCTATTTCAACTTTTATTATATTTCTCCAATTTCCAGATATCAAGGTATAAATAATGAATACATTTTGCAAAGTTTACCTTTTTTTCCTGCAAAGACTCAAAATTCAAGAAGTGATTCTAATACAAAAGAAACAACCTACATTTAATAGCTTTCTCCACAGGTGTGCATATATATTATACAGGTGTGTATGAAATATTTATCATGTGTATGACATATTTAATACACATAAAAAAATAAATAAATAAAAAACACATCTAAATATTCAATATATGCATTTCTATTTAACTGTTACATATAGCATCACTTTGGGCTGATTCTAATCCCGGTGATCAAAAAACACTAAAATATTGTTTACTACAGTAACAAAACCCAGTTCTTGATGATGACTGAGATGACTTTGAATAGTTTGTTCAGAATTTCAATCCCTCTCATTTTTCATTGGGAAATTGGCAATATAGAATAAAAAAATGCCAGTTGAATAGATATAGTGGGGACTGGAAAAATAGGCATACAGAAAGTATTATACCAGTATTACTATACCTTTTCAACTTCAAAATGGACTTATTTTCAGGTAAAAAAATTAATCAACCCCAAAATGGATCAATCAACTCCAAAATGGATCAATCAACTTCAAATTGAGAATTAATATAATACTAATAAATTTATTATTTATTCTTTTATTTTTACTTAAAAGGGATATAAAAAAATATAAACGTTCCTAAGAAATTTATTTAAAAGATTACATCATCTAAGTTAATTAAAGAGGGAAGTAATCTCTGTATTCCAGATATGAAGTTAGTGCAAGTCTCAGGGGAAATATTATTAATTGCCTTGGAGATCATTGCTTCTAACTTGCTGAGGCAGAATTCTTTAGTAGTTAAAGATCCCTGGCCATCACCTCTTAAAATCGCAACAATTGAGTTTGCCATACTTCTTTTTACGTCAGCTTTAATGACTGACCAAACCTTTTCAATGGGATTTAACATCAGACTATAGGGGGAAAGTCTGAAAATTTGGTGTTGCCTAAATTCATCCTCCCCCACAACTTCTTCAATTGAAGTATGGCAAGGAGCATTATCAATAACTAAGACAACTCCCCTGTCATAAATTTCATTTGCCTTTCTAAGGCACTCCCTGGTCCATTCTATCACATCCTCTTTTTTGAAAGAACCTCTTTTAATTTTATGATGAATTAATCCATTATTACTAATACATCCAATAACATGGATGTTATTTCCCCTGGATCTGGTCGAGACTGTAGTGCACCTCGTGCCTTTTTTAGAGCGACCTTCTCTTCTTGAAATATGGAGATTAAAATTGGTTTCATCCATATAAATAATTGGCCCATTTTGGGACTGAAATTCTAATAAAGCTACTGCGTAATCCTTACATTTCGCCTTATTGACATTATTATTGGCAGCTTCTGGTTCATAATGAACCGCTTTTAAAATAAAGGCCATGGAGTCCAAGTGCTTTCTTATGCATTCTTTCATCACACGAACCACATACTTTTCGACCAACTTATTTACAATGTCTTGAAGAGTGACCCTAGGAGAGTTTTCAATTAATTTGGCCATAAAATTATTATGCTCTTGCGTAATTTTATATTTTCTTGCTCCTCCCCTAGAGTCACTCTTATCAGCACCCTGGTCTAACCAACGGTACGCTGTTGGCAAAGGCATACCAATTGTTCTTGCCAGGTCTTTCCAATTTCCTCTGCGGCATCTGCAGCTAAAATCGGGGCTTTTTTTTTTTTTTTCCAGTCACAGTTTTCTTGAGGTAAGTCCTCTTTGGAGCTGTTGTTAAATCTTCTTCAGCTTCTTTTGTAGAGGTTTCTTCAGCATCAATCATCAATTTACCCATACGGGACTTTCTCCTCCTACTTTTACTGTAGGCTCACCCAATGCTTTCACCCAAAGTTGTTTGTATTTTGGTTTTTTCTTCATCTATATAATGAAGACGAACAGTCAATTTCCTTACTCATGGGGTAAATTAATTGAAAAAATAATTTTCAATTTACCAAAAAAAATATCTCAATTTGAAGTTTATTCTTATTTTCAAGTTGATTGTTTTTAGGTTTTTGACATTTTCTCAATTTGAAGTTGATTAATCCATTTTGGAATTGATTAATTTGTTTACTTGAAAATAAGTCCATTTTGAAGTTGATTATTATCATTTTAAAGTTGAAAAGGTATAGTATTATATTCGTGGTTCTAGTATTCATTTAATTCAGTAATATTTTTATTTTCATAATAAATGTTTTGCAGGTAAAGAGGAATGTGTATATGACAGATTTTTGATTTTGTTTAGTGACATATCAACTTCTGTGGGTTATTTAATGCCAAAATCTAAATATTTTTAAACAATTTTGTTTACATTGTTTGGACTGTTGTCCTTATCTTTGTTGCCATATTCACAATGTTTCAACCATTGTACATTCTGGCTTTCTTCAGTTTATTGGAATTTCAAACTGAAGCCTTTATTTCGTCTACCAGGGTAGATTGTTCTAGTTCCATTTGCCATGCCTCTTTTGGATGTCTCAGTATCAGTTATCGCCCTTTAGCTCAACTCTCCAAGTTTTGTTCACCTGTAAAGTTGAGTTAAAGTGAGATAACTGATATCAAGACATCTGGAAGAGGAATGGCACGTGGAGCTAGAACAATCTACCCCGGTGGGTGAAATAAAGGGTTCAGTTCAAAATTCCAATCACCTAAAGAAAGCTGGAGCATACAATGGCTGAAACATTGTGGAGATGGCAATGAAGATGAGGACATCATTCCAAACAATGTAAATAGTGTAAATAATTACAATACCTCATCTCAGAAATATGGACAGATAATTTTGACCCTTCAAACACAGATAAAATATATTGATTGTAATTTTTATATAAGTGTATTGCCAATATTTTTACTATAAAAATGTATTTTATACTTTCATATTGATATTTGTTGA